ATTCAGAAAAACACATACACATGATAAGGTCATTCTTTGGCAAATATTCAAAATATACGTTCATTACCTTGCCCAAAGAATTAAGTTTCCATACAGGGGTAATCTAGGTTCCAAGAGACCAAATATGCATAATTCTACATAATACGTTCCTTGAACTATTTCCAGTAAACCGATTCTTTAAAAATAAATCAATTTGTAAATTTGACAAATACTTTTCACTCTATAAATCAGATTTGAGGTTACACAAAATTGATTTGCAAACTTTCAAAACAAAATCCAAAATTTAACTAGAAATACTACAAGGAACTTGTACACATAATGTCATGCATATAATCAAGACTTCAAAGACGAGACACTTACCTCAAAGATGTTCATCTTTGAATCACATCTGCTTCACAAGCAGACTTTGGTCTTCACGTGGTATTCGGAACGTTCTAGGGTTGAGTTCCATTCACTGCATTCCTTGTAGATATCCATCCTAGCCTGGAACTTGCTCCTCGGGGTTACCCGGTTTATCAAGAGCACCTGCTCTGATACCAATTGTTATTTAGATGAAATACTACAAGAGGGGGGGTGAATTGTAGTATGGAGATTGCTAGTCACTTTTTGCGGAATTAAAAGAAACTTAACGCAATAGAGAAATAGTGCAAGAGAGATTTTACGAGGAAAACTTCCTAGGCCAAATAGGAAGTGAAAAACCTCGACCCAAAGGGATTTTGACTCAAAACATTCCACTAAAATAGGCCAACGACTCTGTTACAACCTATGAGGAACTTGAGCCTCTACCGAGTTCCTCAACGAACTCATATCCCCAACAACTATTCCCTCTAATAGTTGCAGCTTGAAATCTTCCCTCAAAGACCTCTCTTCTCACTCAAGACTTCACTCAAAACCTTACTCTTTCTCTTTCTCTCAAGCTTCACTCAAAGCCTTCTCTACATACAAAGAACTCACTCAAGTTCTCACCCTAATACAAGAGTTCACTCAAACCCTTATTAATTCCCCATTACAAGAGTTCACTCAAACCCTTAAACAACTCTCAAATACATATAAAAGATATAATGTATAAAACTAATATGTTGAACACTCAAGATCTGTCTGGAACTCACTAGACGTATTGTAACCAAAAACCTGATAGGAACTTTGACCAGGAGGACTGACTTAGCTTCGTGGTGAAGGATAAAACCATTAAGAACGACCACTACACTTCGTCAGCCCCCTCTTTGAATGAATGCATATGAGCATATTTATAGTACACTCAAATTATTCATTTCATCTTGAAAAAGATAGATTTTCTGAAAAGATAAGTTTAAAAGATATTTTCTAAAAATCAGTTTTCTGAAAATATATCTTTTTGTTAAGAATAAAAACTGTCAATAATAATAAGATAAACTTAGCATAAAATCAGATTTTATTCAAAACTTATCTTTTTGTTTAAAATACTTTTTAAACAATCTTATCTTTTTCCAAAAGGGATTTATTAGAAGATAAATATCTTTATTCAGTAAAACCAAATCCCTAAAAGATATGCACGTATAAGGTAAATATATATATCATTAAAACCGACTTTTAACGACGTTCATACTTAAGTTCCTATTAGGTTCCTGAACTCTGACAGTCTCTGAGTTCCTGACAAGTCAGTTACTCTAATTTCATTGACTGTTTGGAATTCACCTTGGTTCTATATAGACTTGTTCCAGACCGACTTTTATGTCCAACATACTTACATGAATCCTAGAGCAATATACTTCTATTTCTCTGTCTTCATGTTGCTTCTCTGAAACTCTTGTTCTGGAATCCTGTAGTCTTGATATATTCTGGATCTTAGGGTTTTCCCCAGCATTACACCGAAACCAGGTCGTTACAACCCGTTTTGAAGTTCCTGTTAAGAAACTTCTGGAAGTTCCATTTCTGGAACTCTTCTTCTAAATTTACTTGTATCCTCATGGATCCTCTAAAGTTCCTCTGTTTCAATTCCTACTTCAGCCCTCAACGCTTACTGAACCTGCAAACATCACAACACTAGAAAATCCTTATTAAATGGAAGTTTGCTCAATTCTTAACATCATCATCAAAACCTCATAAGGATCAACAAGTTGTCCCTTTTTGATGATGACGAACTGAGCAAACTTCTGAGAATAACAAAGTAAAACAGAAGGTTAGTTTTTTATTTATAAAAACAATAAAGAAAACTAAACTAAATTAAAAGACTCCTACACATACATAACCTATATATGTATAGGATACTTACCTTATGAAGCTAACATATGTAAACACATGTTTACATAGTTACCTTCATGGTCCCTTAGCCATCATCATGCTTATCAACCATAACACTTATCGTTGTTCTTGTTCCTCTATTGCTTATCCTATATTGCTCAAGTTCCTTACATATATACCTGTCATTACTCAGGTTCCTTGTATCCTGTTCCAAGCATAATTTGCTTTTTCTATGCACAACTTAACATACACGTTAGATAGATAATCATCATTAGTTTATAATCATCAAAACCTAATTGCTCAACAATGCAAGCTCAACCAAACATTATTGATTTCGAAAGTACCCCTTAGCTTCAATACCTTAAGTGTCTGACGAGCAAATAAGTCCACTGGCAGGCGCATAAGTTTATTTGGTAAACCCCAATCATCTTTAATCAGATAAAGCTCCCAAATTTCACGTCTCAGTACAGAATTGATCAATGTGTTGACATGGACGGTTCCAAAATCTTTAAATATCTCAAAGTGAAAACGTTGCAGACATGGTACGTCGTTGTTAAGCAGAACACTATCTATGAAACTCATGAACTTATATCTCTCACAGTCGTTATCAAACACGGTCCTAGGAAGCTTGGTAATGTCTAGCACAGGAACTTTAGTCCAAATAGAGACCCATCTTCTAGACAATACACTAGTTGCAACAGCAAGTTTTGTAGGCACAAAAGTTAAGATATTGCAAAGCAGTGCATCTGGTAGCTTACTAATGTGATCCATCTCGTAGTCACTTGTGTTTCTTTGAGCACGAAATTGAAACCGTACAAGCACCTGATCAAACCAAATGAACCCAAAGATTGAAAGTAGATACATTTTTGTTCACAAAATTTTTACATAAATATAAACGAATATAATAGAATCTCTAATACTACCTCTGTTAATTTTTATGTACAACTTTGGGGTATTATTTGTGAGATATAAAATATTCCAAAGTTGTACATGAAAATTAATGGAGGTAGTATTAATTGTAATGCAAGAGTAATATACCATGTAAAAATAATTAGCTCAAGAAATCACTCTATACTCTACACATATAACTTCCTCAAGAGAACAATCTTAGCATAATCAATCAAAACATACAGGTAACATTCCTAGGAGCAAAAATATGAGTTATATGACCAAATCAACCAAACTTATCGAGATTAAATGGGGTTTCCTCTTTCTGAGAAAATACAAGTTGATCTTCGTGATGAAAAAAAAATGTTTACTAGTAGCATTTCTCTGAATGTAAATAATTACTAAGTAAACAACTATTATTAAACACGAGTTTCACAAATGTTGATTTATTTACAAAAATATCACGTTGACTGGAATATTGTGTTGATTTATTTACGTAATTATTACTGGGTAAATGATCGAATTGTCTTGAAGATTAACTGGGGCTCCTGGTGAAATAACACTTAAAGTTTTCCTGAAAGTTCAATTTTTTCAAATTGAATTCTAATTATCTGAATAAAATGATTTCAATTTCTGAATACATTGAGCCAACAAAATTTCAGTAAAATTTTGGTACTATTCAATCATGATGAATTTCAACATATTGATACAAAGATGAGACTACATACCTTGAATTTGGAGGCAGAATTCCACGAAATGACGATCTCCAGGAACTAAAATGAGAATTTGAAAAATAAAATTAGAACCCACTAAAAGTCAACCTTTGTAATTAAGTAATTCAAATAAGTTCGAGTTTCCAATCATGATTTGGAGTACTTCTTAAATTTAAATACGGTGAAAAACCACAAATCATCGCTATATTATGAGACGGAGGGAGTATTATTTGTCTAGACTTGACCTTTTCAATATAACCCTTGGTTTGTACTTTGTATGATTAGAACTTTAGAAGATTTGATGACTCAATTTCAATTTTTTTTATTTTTTTTAAATACTACATACTCGTATAAGGCCCTGTTCACTTTCAATTTAAAAAAATAATATTAAGTAAAAATAATTTCAATTCAATGAAAATAAGTTCAGTTCAATAAAATTAATTTCAGTTCAGTAAAAATAATTCCACTTTAGTAAAAATGTCCAATTCAGTAAAATTCAGTTTTCTAAAAGAAGAATTTTAATAGAAAATCAGTAAAAATAATTTCAATTCAGCAAAAATAATTTCAATTTAATAAAATTAATTTAAATTCAATAAAAATAATTTCAATTCAGCTAAAATAAGGTGAAGTTAACATGGTCTTCTATATCTATACTATAGAGTATATATTAAAAGTGATCTCAAAATTAATTAATAGGAAGTTAAACAAAAAAGTATTGTAATACATGTCTTATTAATATGTAAGAAATTTTAATGTCATCCACTATTTTTTATACATATGATAATTCAGGACATCATCCGGGTTCAAAAACTATCAATATATTACAAAGGCATTTCTAATATATCAAGGTTGAATGTCTCCTTGAAAAAACTTTAATACCCCTCTTGGTTAATACTAAAAAGATCAATGCCTTTAATTGATTCATCAATTATAATTTTCAATCCATTGATCTCATAACATTATGTCATAATTTACTCCAAAATCTTCAATCAATTCAAGTAATTTCATCAAACCCACAATTAATGCATTAACAAATCAATCAACATAAAATCAAATCACGATTTCTCTAATATAGTAAAATTATTCCCCCATTAATCAATTTTTTTATATATAAAACAATAATTACCTAATATATTAAAATTATAATAGTTTCATATATTAAAAAAAAATTATTTTTGTTAAACTAAAAGGCTTAGAAAAAATATTCAATATAAATAAGTTAATAAAAAAAATTATTATTATATCCAAATAATCCATTTACCACTATCCGGACTTGTACTCAACTCAACGGGGTAGCGTCTTTATACTCAAAAATCCCAAATTCTCAAAATTTCTGCTCCTAATTTTTGAATAAATTGATTTCCCCTACTATTAATCTTTCCCCATTTCATTCAACAATTAGAAATTCAAGTTGATCAATTATAGATGAAGATGGAGAAACCCCCAATTTAAGGTTGCATCAATGCGCATCAATTTAGACCTTAATTGCTTATTCTAGCCCTAGCAAAAATTTGAGGTAATTATCCTCCAATCTATTTTTATTTTAAACATTATAATTTCTATTGTCTAATGTTAATTGTAATTACCTAATTTCAATTTTGTTTGTTTGATTTTGAAATTTTGAGTTTCCTAGAATTTCCCTGAATTTTAATGAATCTATCTATAATCTGGTGATTTGGGTTAATTTAATTACATAATTGTTTTCTTTGGTTGATTACATTTCAATTTATGATTGTTAAATTGCCGTTAGCTTTTCTTGTTAACTGATAATGGTTGGTTTTTGGGATCATTATACTCCAATCTATTATATTTTAAAGATTAAAATTTTAATTGTCTAATGTTAATTGTGATTACCTAATTTAAATTTTTGTTTGTTTGATTTTGAACTTTTGAATTTCCTAGAATTTCCCTGAATTTTTGTGATTTTATCTACGATCTGGTGATTAGGGTTGATTCAATTATATAATTGCTTTCTTTGGTTGATTACATTTTCAATTTTTGATTGTTAAATTGCCATTAGCTTTTCTTGTTAATTAATAATGGTTGGTTTTTGGGATTATTCTGTATTACTATTAAAGTTGATATGCTTCTAAAGTTTTACAAAATTTCGCAATTTATATCTTTGTCATGTTTTCATGATGCATATCGTGATCCCGGATGAACATATACTCAATTTATATCTTTGTCATGTTGTCTTTGAAGTTGCAGTTCTGTCAATCAATGGCTTGTTGAGTATCATCAAACTATCAAAGCATGGATTATATTAGTAACTTGCCTGATGCAATTATCAGCTACATTCTATCTTTTCTCTCTACAAAGTCTGCTATGAAGACGTGTATTTTATCGAAAAGATGGCAGTATGTCTGGACTAAAGTCCCTGCACTGGACATTACTGAAATGCCGCATTCACGTAGATACCTGAGTGATGAGCAGCAAATTCATTTCAAGAATTTCGTGAATAAGGTTTTACTTCAAAATGATGTATCCTGTCTGCAATGTTTTACCCTCAGAACATATTCTGAGTATGATTACGACTGTATTGAGTCATGGTTGAGAGCTGTAGAAGGGCGTGAGTTTTCTGAGCTCAATGTAAAGCTTCATTGCCCCAAGACTTTTTACTTGCCTAGACAGTTTCTTTCCGGTCAGAAACTTGTGGTTTTAAAACTAGAAGGGTTTATGATTAGTAATATGGGGCATTCATTCCATCTTCCAAATCTTGAGATCATCCATTTAGTTTCCATTCTGTTTGATGGCGATCTATTTCTAAAGAGTTTGGTGTTGGATTGTACTGCTCTTAAGGAGCTGCTTATTGATGGATGTTATGGTTTTGAGGAAACACTCTATGTGGAGTCTTCGACCTTAGAGTCATTAGAAATAAAAGAATGCGCAATTAATCGCAGTAATTATGTGTTACCTTTTATACGCATACAAACCCCAAATCTTAGGTACCTCAGTCTCCAAGACGCGCTGGCTAATTATAACATCGGTGAACTAAAGTTGCTTATTGAGGCAAATCTTGATCTTTGGGATAGTGAAGGTTATGATGAAATTGAACATCATGCACTTCAGCTTATTGAAAAGATTTCTGGAGTAAAATCTCTGCGATTAGGAAGAACTGATGTAAGTTTATCCTCTTGCCTCATAAGTTTTACTAATCTGTGAACTCTTTGACATTACCAATCAGCTGTACTTGTCAAAATTCCAACTGGAATTGTTCAATTCCTTGCAGGTTGTTTGTTGTTTTGAAGATGCTATACCAAACTTTGAAAACTTGATTGAGTTGAAGCTTGCCGCTGATTTTGTTATCCATGAGCTGTTAGAAAGTACTCCTAAGCTGAAATCTTTGATCATTGAGGAAGTAAGCACGTAATTCTTGAATTTTCTTTTTAACTTTTTATTACGAGTCATGTCTCTAAATGTGATTTTTGTAAAATATTTTGTGTTAATTCAACAGGTAGATTGTGTTGGTGAGAATTTTTATTCCAAAGTTGCGCCTGGTTGTATGTCATCTCTTGAACATGTTGAAATTTTCTTGGATAAAAGACATCATATCAGATTGGCAGAGTATATATTGAAAGTTTCTACCGCCTTGAAGAAGATGACAATCTACTTGCATCCTACGACTATTAAGAGGGGCAGAGCTGTTTATCAAAGTTTATTGAATCTTCCAAGATCCTCACCAATCTGCCAAGTTAAAGTTGTCCATCTTGATTAATAGGTATTGTTGAGCTAAAGGTTTCAAGAAGTTCACTATTAGAGCTACAAGTTTTCGCATAGTTTTCACCATATTTACATTGAAATCGATTAGAAACATGAAGACTTGTTAAACACAGCCTACACAGGTTTAAAAGTATGTTCCATAATCCATATTCATATTGGATGATATTGCATCTTATATATTCTGCAATTCTTCTGATGCAAAGTATGTTCCATATTTGATTTTGTCTAAAATGTTATCTTTACTCGTATATCTTTTGCCTTCTCATAATTTGTATTACGTATTCGTTTTCCTTAGAATAAATCAATTTCCTCTGCTGAATGCTATATAAAGTATACCAGTGTAATTTACTTTGGTGTGAGGCTAATAGTCCTGAGAAAAATGCTACCGAGTACTAGTAAGTAGTAACAGTTACAATTATTTTTGTGGGCTAAAAATCTAAGATGAATAAATCAATCTATCAAATACGACTATACGAGTACTAATTTTTATTATTTTTAAGGGATATGAGTACTACTTAATAACAAAGTTAAACATAATTAAAATCCTTTGTTAACTAGGAAATATAAACTTGTTCTCCAAGTCTAATATTTTGCAAATGCATTGAAATAATAATTATGTTTCATAATATAATAAATCAAAATAGAAAATAGACAAATATGCTTAATAATAAAATTAGGGTAATGTTATATGTAGCCCTAAGGGCTAAATATAGCATTAAATATACTCTTGGAAATTGTATAAAATTAGAAATTCATGATAAAAACACACGTAAATCAGTGTTATCACCTATAAGATAAAAGGTACATTTGAACAAAACATTAATGTTGAAAATAAGAAGAATGATACTTTTTAGCAAAAAATATTTTAACAATGTTGCCAAAAAATAAAGATGAACGTTACGCCTAATTGATTGATGAGTTTGTTTAAGAATCCATTATTTCTTCTGGAAATAAAACTTTAATTCTGCAGAATGGTGAGGATCTTGGAAAAGCCAATAGCTTTTGAAGAATTTTTATCTTGTCTTCTAAAAAACACATGATAGTCATCTCCTTCAAGGTTGTTGCAGCCTTTAGTATATACTTGACCAAAGAGACTTCATCGAAATCGTACAAGGAGACTGTAACATGTTGAAGGCTCGACCCATATCCATCATTTGCTAAAGAACTAAGAGATTGATCAATCCATTCAACCTAATGAACAAACATCAAATATTTTGACACAATTAGATCCAAATTAATTTGATTTTTGTAAGAAAGGAAAATAACAAAGAATTATGTACTTACTTCCTCAAATATCAAAGATATCAACTTGGGAGCTCGTTTTAGTAACTTGCAAGTCAAGTTCTCGAAAGTTGGTAGCTCTTTGCAATTAACTATAAACTGCATCAAAATTATACTTTGTATGAACATCACTACACAATAAATTAGATCAGTATGCATTAGACAAAAAAGTTGGAGTATAATTAAGATTTGGTGCTTTAATCCTAACATTCGGAGGTCCATAATCATAATCATTCATACTTCTATTCACGGTATCACATATTTCTAATAATGTTAACGTCAAAGAATCCATATGCAATGTCTCATTATCCAAAACAATACATTCTTTGATGAGTAGTTTTGTATATAACTTCAAGGCTCGGTAGATGAAAAGATTTTGGGGTATCATTTATTTTCACCCCCGTTAATTTCAAAATTGTAAGCCTCTCACCACAAATCAACTCTAGAAACTTATAACTTTGAGATCGATCCAAAGAAAAATTTAGATCAACCTCAAAATATTCACGTTTCTTTGCATTATTCAACCATGACTCGTAATATTCAGTATCATCGTCGCTAGAGAATTCGTTACGAAAACGCTGTAGATAAGAGATATCGTTTTCAACTAAAACCTTACTCACAAAATTATTATAATTAATTTTCGTCTTGTCACTCAATGAAGGCATTGAGGTAGGATAATATTGTGGTATCTCATTAAAATCAAGTACAGAGACTTGAATCCATACTTTCTTCCATCTTTTTGACAATACACAAAGAAAGTATATGACACAATATTGAATCATGTAGATTACTAATGTAATCTATATTTTCTAAGTAATCTATATTTTCTAAAGGAGTACTAATGTTACTCATGTTTCGAATTTTAATTGAAAAAATTAAAAGCTTGATGAGATAAAAGGATGGTAATTACGATTGCTTTTGACTGTATACCACTAGAGAAGACTACTTTTATAGGTAAATTATGATACCCTTGTTAAGTTAGGAAAATAAATACTCCGTTCATTAAACTCTATCTTATTACAAGAGTTTCCTAAAATTAAAAAAAGATGTGTCTAATTTTGTACTACGTGTAAAACGCAGCTCCCTTTATTGGTTTTGTGCTTGGTTCCCATTTTTTTTTTTGGTATAAATTTTCATATTATTATCTTTTCTTTTTTTTTTTTTTAATCTTTCATATTATTATCTTGTTCTGTAAGTGTTATTTATTTTTTATTTATTTATATGGAAAGTATAAACAATTCAACTTAATATTATCTTTCTGATTTGGAAGCTATTGGTGCTTAATATATTGCTACATTTTTCGTATAAAAATAATCTGCTGCACATTGCAATTTTTATCATATTTTTTTCTTTTTGAAGATTATCATATTTTTTTCTAATCAAAATCCACTTATAAAAATTAGAAAGTAGAATACTCTGTACGTATTAGAGATTAGACTTGGTGGACAAGTTTACATAGCCCTTAGGGTACATATAAGCATTAAATTTATACTTGAAAATCGTAAAAAGTTATGATTATTATTCGAGTATGTTGTTGAAGAAAACAGTACACTAATCAGTTTAGACAATGGATCATACCTATTAGTATATTACACTTTGTGAAAGTCTAGCCGTATTTCGCAAAGTGGTATATATGGATTACAAAGGACTACCTAATCAAATCAACAAATACTCCATAAAGAGATATTCATGCAGAACCCTGAAGCAAATATACTCGTAGTATCATAGTAGAAGTAGGCGTGTAGCCTAAAGCTTTCACACTATTATTCATCCACAATTGAGGCAAAATCAAAGCAAGAATGATGCTTAAATTATGTATATCGAATCCACGAATGAAAAGATCAAAAGAATATTTGGCATCTAACACAACATACTGTTACAGGATGTCCAAACCAAATCTCCATATCCAGGAGTGCAAAGATGGGAAATAATGATACATCATAACTTTATTTGGAGGAGACACTAACTATTAAACTCTACATATTCTGGTTTTAACAATCTCCATGTAGAACCACTAATCACAACTCAAAACAATAAGACCATAATCAAATCCTTCAAGAGGAGCCACTTTGAATGCCAAGTAACCCTCTCACTGCCCGAGTAAGAAAAAAATTACATCTCCAGCGGTGGCAATGGAAACAGCAAAGATTAAGAGGCGAACTGCTTCTAGTCGGCTCTTGACTGACCAGCACGGGATGAGAGGATGATACCAACAATGAGACCGTACAAAGCCAAAGCTTCAGCAAAAATAAGGATAAGGATCATTCCAACGAAAAGCTTGGGCTGTTGGGCATTGGCTCTGTACCAAGAAGTAGGTTCATCAGAAGAATGTTAAAGGCAATGATATCTATTAGCAAATCAATGACTTCACAGCAAGACAGTTACACGATACAACAGACAAGGAAGGGTAAAACAGCTTTACAGCACAGGTTCAGACGGAAATTACAAATAAGCATATTATTTCAGAGAAGAAAAAACTTAAACCAGAGGGGGAGTTTACAGTCATCAGAAATCATAGGATGCATAGAAATATGAGATGTTGTATAGTGTACAATACAGCATATTTTAAGGAAGAGAAGAGTAACAAGTAAATGGAACACATGATACCAACTGAAAGGCACACCAGAGTAATCCATGATGAACAGAAATGGGGAAGATAAACTACTGAAATTCAAACATGTGTATTCCTAATTCTACAACAGCACAAAACGTAAGGCACAGTAGAAATTAACTTCAGAAAATTTTTTAAAAAAGTTATTTTTTAAAAACAAAGAAAAAAGAATGACCTAAACAGGCTAAAGGAAAAAACAGGAATGCCAGAAAAATAATGAATCTCAACTCTCCTAAAGAGTATGACCCAACATAAAATCAAGACATGCCATCAGAACCATAATAGTATAGATAAGATCTAAATAAGGTTAGCCCACCCACCATGTCATATGCTCTCATTTGGTTTTAAATTCAATAGTAACCTAGGAAGTTGAAAAAACGATTTCCAGTATAAATTTGGACTTAAGGAGTGTTATATGTCACTCTGATTGACGGTCAGAGAGAAGTAGCATAACTATAGGTAGCATAACTGGATTTACAAATATGTGTACAACAGACACTTTGAGCAACATGCCCAATTAACTGCCAGCCAAGAAAATGTTCAAACTCCTGATTGCTCAATTAACTGCTAACAAATTAGATCTCCATAAAGCAAATTGTGGACCAATTAACACAAAACTATTTGTGTGTAGTAAAAATCAGACGATTTTGCCCAAAGGCCAGAAAGACAATAGTAACTAATAACCTTATCAATAATCAGGAATACAGAACATAGACCACCAGGGTATAGCAAATTAATCAAGCACAAAACAATCTTGACAATAGCATTACTCTCAACCTCAAAATTCGAACAGCAAAAAGACTAAATCTCATGACCAACACCTGGTCTAGCAATAAAATATTAGAGATGCATATTAATACTAGATAAGATGAAGTCATGAATCCACTATTTTATAAACAACCAAGTCAAAAACAGGCTTTCCAGCTATATTTTGTAAGGACCACTTCCTTGATAGTGTTACTCTTCAGTCTTAACACATAGCATTGACCTCATCAAATACTTACCACAACGAAAACAGATGCAAAGGAGTATTCAAGATTTCAAGCAACAATGTAAACAATTAAAATAAATTCCCAGATCCAGAACAGCTCAGCACCACTAAAAATCAACATTCTAACAAGTAAAAACGCAACATAAAACAGCAAGCTATTACTGCCATTGCAACCTAGATCGTAAGAACACAACAGACAACTGAAAAACCAACTAACACAGCAAAGAAGACATAAATTAGCATCAGCAAATATACTATACCCCCATCAATTCAGAAATCAGAACATTTCTAGATATCCGGAAAAAAGTCGTAATCTATTCTTAACATAATGCAACTACTTCAATACACAATTGGAAATTCCAAGATGCAAATACTTTAATCATATCATCATATCCTTAATTAAAACACAGCAACACTAGCAACAATCACAATGCTCCACCTAAAGATCCAAGAACAACAGATAGATAAAAACAACAATTCTAAACAGATCCAATCCACAAAAAAATTCCAATTCACAATCAAACTAGATCAATCAATGTCATCAACAATCAAACGAAACGATACGAAAGTAGCAGATAGAGTGAGCGAGATATGTATATACCTAACACCAGCATCACCGACGATACCAATGGCCATACCAGCAGAAAGACCAGCAAGACCACAAGCAAGACCAGAAGAAAGATGAGCATAACCATCAAAGAGGTAGTAAGATTTAGCCTTAGGGTTAATACCAGTACTAATGATAACAGCAATAATCAAGCCGTAAATACCCAAAACTCCAGCCATAACAACTGGAACAATCGATTTCATCACCAATTCAGGTCTCATCACTCCCATTGATGCAACTCCTACACCACTCTTCGCTGTTCCATACGCAGCTCCCATACCTTCAATCAATCAATCAATCATCAATCAAACAATCACTCAGAATCCAATTCAATCAAATCAAAATCGAAATTCAATCAAGTAAACCCTAGATCTAAACAAAATAAGCATTGAATTACATAAAATCGAAGAAAAGAATCGAGAATTCTAGGGTTTGAAATTGACGTACAGGAGAAGACGAGAGCAGCGGCGGCACCAAGGAAGCCGAAGAAGGGAGCGGTTTCATCGCCATTGAAGACAGCAGTAGCCATGGTTGAATGGATCTGAGAAATGGAGGTATAACAATGGCGATTGATTGGGAGGAGAAGAAGAGGAGGAGAGAGAAAATGAATGAAATGATTTATCAGGATTTTCTGGATGGGATCATCACTAACATAAGAGGTTTTTATTTATTGGAGAGAGAAACAAGAGAGAGAAAGAGAGTGCACGTGGTAGCAAGTCAGAAGTCCGATTTCATTCATTTGTGTTTGGGTTGTTTAGTTTTTGTGTAGCCCAATGAGGAATTTGTGTTTTGGCCCAAACTTTCACCATCTCCATTCTCCAACACACATGTTAAAACGAATGTATTCTCTCCGTGTTTTTTTAAGTGTTATACTTTGACCAGCACATAGTTTTAGGCAATTTAATTGACTTAAATAAAATAAGAGGTAAGTGGGGTAGAGTTGGAATATTAAAAAATTATAAAAGAAAAGTTAGTGGAGTTAATAGTTTATTGAAAAGTAACGAATGTGATAGGAAAGATATAATAAAAAAAAATAGTAGTGGGTTTGGGTGAGGACCATAAGAGGAAAGAGATATAATATTTTAATATAGTTTTTTGCCAAAAAAAAGGAAGTGTAATACTTTAAAAAAAACATGGCCGAAAATGAAAAGTGTAACAGTTAAAAAAACACGGAGGGAGTAGTTACAAATAATGTTTAACGGAGGTAATATAAAAATTTGATCTTGTACAAAAAATACAATATTAAGAAACGGATTTAACAAAATTATATGTTACAATATATTTGCTAAAAGAGCAATGATAGTTCAAAGTCAAAATAATAAAAAAATTTACTTATAAAAATCTAATACATATATATATAAAGTAGGCATTTTTTGAGAGTATTCGACGAGCCACATAAGCAAAGGTATATTTTTGACCAATTAAAAATTAGATTTCAATCGTTACAAATAAGAAGCAATATCGCACTCATTGTCAGTGACAACAGAATAATGATTTAATTTTTTAAAATACTATTGTTTGGGCGATTGAGGACGATGAAAAAATTCCAATGCATAGATTTGATTTTTTACAATTAAAATTTTTAGATCAATTTCACAACAACTTTTCACTTATTGATTTATTTTATAAGACTAAAGATTAATTTTATATAAATTTTATTTTTGCTAACATGTTTTATTTATCCATTTTGATTAGATGGAAGAGATATGGGTGTGAACGAAGTTGGTGATTCTATCAAAATAGAAGATAAATAGTATACATGTTTTTAATATGTAACCGATAAAATATCACATTTATTTTTTTATTGAAAGATATCATATTTACAATTTATTCATATTTTTAAATCCAATTGTTATATAATTAACAACCACAATAAAATACGAGTTAAGAGTACAATTAGGTACTCAATTCTTCCTTTTTTCACCTTTTAGGTACTCAATTTTTTTTGCTTTGCTTTTGGGTACTCAAAGTGATTTTCAGGTGAACTAACTCACCACTAACTCATCACTAACCATACCTAATTAAAAAATTAATATTTTAAAAAAAAATCTTAACTTTGACTCATAAACTAGCCGTTATTACTCTATTTAAAGGGGCGTGAACTTGGCCAAAAAATGCCATGAAAACACCTGCAAAACACTAGCAGCACACCATGTTTCCAAAACGATTTCCCCTGATTCAATTTCAATAATAATAATAAAAAAAACAGCAACGCAGAAGATGTAGCAGTACACCAACAACAAATATCATCAAAACAGGTTCATTCACCATGTCTATTTAGGCACAAATTCTTCAACAAGGTTTTCCCAGATTTTTTAGGAAAAAAAAAAAAAACAAAAGCTGCTGCTAGGTTCTTCCCCTGCTGCTGCTTCTTCAATTCTTCCCCTGCTGCTTCTTCAGTATACAAGCCACAAAATCAGCCTCCTGCAAATTGGAAAAAACAGAAACGGTAAGCTTCAACTAATCAAACCCTTGCGCAATTTAAACAACATGCAATCAACATTCAACAACAACACTAGCTTAATCCAACAACAAAGCAACAAATTTAACACAAAAAACACAAGAAATCGACATCATCAATTTGTTCAAAAAAAAACCCCAAAAAATCGAAAACGCTAGGTCGCAAATAACATCAAGAAATGGGCAAAAAATTCAAAATTTATATCAAAATATCAACATAATCCATGAGTAATTGAGCTCACCTCAAAAAAATGGCGGCTTTTGGTGTCGTTTTCCCCAGAATCGAGCCCAAGCTTGCTCGTGTTCTTCGACAATGACGCAGCAGAATTTCCAGAAAAGGAAAGAATAAAGGGAGCAAAAAGGGGGAATAAAGAATAAGAAAGGGAAAAAATTAAGGGTGACTCGCGAATTTTTTTAATCGGGTGAGGCCCACTTTCTCTTAACCAAGGTACTGAATTCTTCAACCAAAGGTACTGAATTCTTAGGCTGATTTATTTTTTTTGGCCGGAATTCTTAACTCAGTACCCAAAAGCAAAGTAACAAAAATTAAGTACCTAAACGGTGAAAAAAGGAAGAATTGAGTACCTGAATTTGTGCTTAACTCATAAAATACAAAACAACAATAAACAAAGTCGCGTTATAAATTACATTTTAAAAAAAAAAACTTTTGTTATAGGCAATAACACTTTAATTAAAATATTATGTGTTTTTTTTTGTCTGAAATTATTAGATAGTAAAATAAATCAAATAATAAAAAAAAACACATAGAATCTATACGAAAATATATTTTCTTGAGATTTATACATGAAAAAACCGTGCATCGCACGGGCTTTCATCTAGTGTACTTAATAGGAAAACAAATAGAGATAGATAGAGTATCGAATACCATTTACATACCATGATTAATCATTTTTTTTTTAAAAAAAAAAAAAAGTAAAGTGGTGATTAATAAGCGCGTATATATCCCCTAAAATCATTTGAGTGTTACACTTAATAGTATAATTAATAGGTACATAAAGAGTTTAACTACAATTATGATGTACAACTCAACCAATATCAATATGTAGTCCAAGTGGTTGATAATTGATAATTGATAATTGATATACTCCATATTATCTAGTAATACAAAGAAGATATCTAAAGTTTAGCAAAGGAGCTCAATTTTTCTCATTTCGAAGTGATTTTGTACTGTATATGATCATACATTTGAAATTGTCATTAATCTCAAAGAAAAGTCTCATTATAGCTTCATGTATTTTTAGTCGATCAAAATTCTATTTTTTTCCTTTTTAATTTTTTTCTCCCTAAAATCGTGTGCAAAAGCAAAGGAAACTTTAATATGATGACAAAAAGAGTACAAAAGTTCTATTGTCAAGATACTTAGGAGAGCAAAGGAAAAAAAAAATATACAGAGTATAAAATTTAATCATTTTACGCACCCAAATTCTTAAAAATCATGGGCAAAAGACTAATTATACAAGTGCACAAAACGGTTCTTCGATTCTTCCTTCGATTCTTCCCACGAGAGCTCTGCACATCCTTCGGTTCTTCCCACGAGAGCTCTGCACATAAACACGGGGGAGTGGAGAATTATAAATATTACTCCGTATTACAATTGGCACCCTGTGCAAAAGAAGTCCTACAATATACTCATTTCATCTACATATCCCATTACTAATCCAATTAAACTATACATAACAAATTCAATTTTAAACCATCATGACAACAATTGAATTTAAGATAAAGCGAGTAAAAGAATGAAAATGTGGCAAAATGTGGCAAAAAGGGTTCCTGAGACAAGAAACAGGAATTATTATCGATTCAAAATTATATGGCATTTACAGTGCATGCCATAATGAAATTACAAAACTCAGAGAAATAGAAATGAGTATTCAAGCTCAGAATTCGCAACGGGTGAGGGATGCCCAACATCAGATCCTATTTTTAAATCTCTAGCCATAACTTCACAAAAACAATCTGCATGCAGAATCACAATTAACAACTAAGATACGAGTAATTTGAAAGAACAATAAGAAGAACTCACTCTGATCATTAACAGCCCCCAGCAACTTCTCCACGCCAAAATGTTTTAAATTCCCTCAGGTTTCAGACATGAGAGGTCTGCAAGATAGTGCAAAGTAATGGCAATTCATAATTACTGCATATATGCTACTGTTTATTCTCTGCTCAGGTAGTAAGCATACACATTAACATATTGTCATCTTGAACGCTTTCTTGACATGGCTGGGGAACAAACCATGAGTGTGCTCTTCCAATTTCTCGGTCAAACGTAAGGTGAAAACAACTTTACAGTGTGATGTCCGGCAGCCACATCGCCTCTGTAAATAAAAAGACTTGCATGTCCGTATCTACTCAACTTGAATCATTTAAATGTAATTAATTCAGAACTCAAATTAAAAAAACAAAAATAGATACTTAACAAGCAGAAATCTTAATCATCCTCACATCAAATTATTAAGCAGCAATAGCTATCTCATTTCAGTTTAACCACAAGTGCAAAATCTGCAACTCTTTTGAGCGCTGAGGCCTGAAAAGTCAAATGCAAAAAGTGCACATAAATATCTCATTATTGATTAACTTCATTACTGACAATATACTAGCCAGATAAACTATTACTGAAGCCCAGAAAAGGTTGGCACATTTCCTATCAGCGTAATGGGTTATAATGAAAATACCTAATAGGTCACTACATATCTACATCTATTATAGTGATAAGTAGAGGATTACGATGGCATACCTATTTTCAAGGGTTTCACTGTACAAATATGTCATATCCTTAATCATGAAGGATTGGGAAAATGTGACAGCGTATTGCTGAAAGAGAAAGTAGCTATTTGATCATTCGATAAGTAAAGAAATTCTATAAATGAACTAACATCTCATATCATCAAGAATCATTACATACCATAATAAGTTCATAAGCATTAAGTAGAGATATTTAAGAAATTAATTTATTACCTATTTCATCATATACTCCCCCTCCCCCCCTAGTCCACCCAAGCTATTTTAATAAAATCCCTAAAAGAATCAGGATTTTTAAGGTATTAATTCTATTTTCCACTTACCTTGTGCGGAAGCCAAACCGACCACGTAGATGTTTGAGGCTAGTAGAGCTTGTTTCCATGCACATAAATGATTAGAATCCATCCTTTGCAAAGAAAATTGACTTCCATTGAGTCTATCTGAAGAAGGGAC